AATATTATTTTCAAAGTTTTTGAGATTTGTAAGCATGGAATACGGTAATGAAATTAGTTGAAGTGAAGTTGAGTTTGATTTTTCGTTATTGAATAACAAAATTACTTTTATTCGTGAAGAAATTAACGATAGAGAAAGCAATGATGAACATAGAGATGAAATAAAAGATATAAGAAGGCGAAAAATAAGAATAATAGATAGTAAATGTGAAAGCAATCAAATGAAGATATTGCGGAAGACAGGGAAAATTCAAAATGGATAACACGCATAGAATCGGAAAATATATCGCGAAGAATACAATTTGTATCCGGTGAAAAATTTATAGGACTGCAAGTATCTTCGAATATAAATGTACCATTAGATTCTTTTAAACTATTTTTTACTTATTAATGAAATATGAACTTATTAATGAAATAGTGTACGGAACAAATAATTATGCGATAAAAAGGTTAGAAGGAAAAATACTATTGCCTACTTGCCCTGACAAACCGAGGATGCATCTTGATAATTGCTTCATAAAATATCATACAAAACAACAATATAGATTTTAATATTCAATAAATTTTGTTTCTTTATATGTCAAGATACATAAAATATTAAAATATAAAAATTTTATATGTTAATTTATGCATGAAATCATTATAAATTAGCTGTAAGAAATTCCATCAAACGCGGTCAAATCCGAGTCTGAAGTTGCAAAACAGGCCTGGAGTGCAAAGGGTTAATTATTAATCAGAATTAATTATTAATAACATAAATCGTTTGCAGGTGGTAACATTGGCTGTGTATACGTATTTTTTAACGAGCGTGATGGGTCGTCAGTGGGTGCAGAATTCATCCACGTCAACGATCGATCTCTATTTCCCAGTATTCACGACGTTGCAATTCTTTTTTTACATGGGCTGGTTGAAAGTAGCCGAGACACTGATCAATCCATTCGGCGAGGATGACGACGATTTCGAAGTGAACTGGATAATCGATAGAAATTTACAAGTATATACAACGTTATATAATCAAGATCACGAATTATTTATATATACATATCCCTATATTTTTTTTTCCTGTTTAATATCTCTAACGTATTGCATTAAGGTTAGCTACCTTATCGTTGACGAAATGCATCACGAGCATCCAGAATTGATCCGTGACCAGTATTGGGATGAGATATTTCCTACGGAGCTTCCATATACAGCGGCGGCTCAAGCTTTCCGTGAAGAGCATCCACAACCGTCGACGGCCGGTATTCAGTTGTCAGCGGCACAGCAAGAGCTTCAACCGTCCACTGCAAGGATCGATGACATGGCGGCCGATTTCCCGCAAAAATTTCGTAGCGATATGGCAGACGATGCCGAGTCCGGTATACACTTTACAGCTACTGGAAAAATGTCAAGGTTAGTTTTCCTTTAAAATTAAAACGTTTCACTTTATTCAAATGTTGTACCTTATTGCTTCCTTTTTTTTGTTCCCCTCTGTAAAAAATTTATAACCAGGAGCGCCACTGAAAGTGGTAAAATAGCAAGGTAATAATATATATATATATATATCATTGCTATACACAAACAATATTTGAAACATCTAGAGTGCATAAGAATCGTAAGAAGAAATAAATATTATTTACTCGTAGAAGTGCGAGCAGAGTGAGCACTCGGGATCGTACCCTGAGCGGAGGTTCTACTCCGAGCATAATCGGAGATTCTTTGACGAGAGTGAATAGCGTGACCAGTGTGTTGAAACGATTATTCAGCAAGGATGACAGACCAGACGGTGGCACGTCGAGCGGTACTAAGACTCCCGGTAGACTCGCTACTTCCAGCTCTGCAGCCTCGTTGCAAAATCGAATCGTTGGTACGTTGGCAAACTTTCATCGATGTTTATATATTATCACACGAAAATTCGATTCCACTCTTATTATATATTCTTATTTCCGTTGCGCTAAATAATAAATTCCACGCAGCGGGAGGTGGCTCGATGAGGATTGGAGTGATCAAAGAGGAAGCGGACGAGCAGATGACTTTGGTATCGATGAAGTCGGACAAGAAGCCTCACGTGCAGAGCATATTTTCGCCAGGGCCACCGCCACCGAGCGCTCCCGTCGCTGTCCCTGGTATGGAACATTCGAGAAATGGAGAGATATTCTCGTGCAGCGCTCCTATAACAGGTGGCGTGTTAGAAGGAAGTAACGGTGAAAGCACCAACGATAGACGATACGCGCCTGATTCAAGGCTGGTATTATAATTAATGGAAATATTATAATTATAATTGTTATGATTATATATTATAATTTTCTTATAATAATATATATAATATATAATAATAATAATAATAATAATAAT